AGCCTTGAACAAAGGCGTCCACAACGGCCGCCGCCGACTGGTTGGGGAGGGCCCAGGCCATAGGCCACCGTGTAAAATACTCTACCCCAACCAGAAGGTACTTATTACCCCGTGGCGTAGTAGGAAAAGGGCCAAAAATATCGAGAGCCACCAACTCATTTATACGAGAGACCGAAATGGGTTGCAGGGGTGGACATGCCGGTTTAGCCGGCGGTTTACGTTGCGCACAATGGGTGCATCCCAGCAAAATGTCAGTGACGTCGCGCAGCATGCCCGGCCAGAAAAATTGCAACCGCAACAACCCAATGGTCTTATGAACACCCAGGTGCAATAAACGCTCATGCGCCGCCCATACGGCCTTGCATCGCAAGGCGGATGGCACGACGATTTTATGTTGACACGAGTCAGCATCCCAATGCATCAACAAGCCGCGCTTCATGACAAATGAATTAAATTTGCCCTATCTTGGAACCGCATTATTCGCGTGGCGACGCAACCTCAATAACGACATGTCCTCGCCCTGGTGCCGACCCCATTCGGCCAAAGTTAGCCCCAGCAAATCGTCACTGGCCATTGGATCTGCATGATCCAACATCGGCGCTGAGGCGGCGGGAAGTGCGGCTGACACCGTTGTGAGAGGCGCGACCTGCGCAGGCAGTGGCGGCTTACAACGGCCCGAGCCCAAAAAACACGCACATTTTTGAGCCGGCGGAAGGCGAGACAACGCATCGGCATTCGTGTGTTGTGCACCCCTACGGTAAGTGACATTGAAATCGTAGTCCTGAAGGACTTCGAGCCACCGAGAAAGCTGCCCGGACGGTTGGTCAACCCGCAGAGCGTACTGTAAAGCCGAATGATCAGATCGCACGGTAAAATGCTGACCATACAGGTACGGCCTGTATTGCTGAATAAAAAAACAATGGCCAGCAGCTCACGTCTGGTCACACAGTATCTTTGTTCAGCAAGAGACAAGACTCTGCTACCATAGGCAACAACCCTTTCAATGCCATCAACTTCTTGGGACAGAACACCCCCAATCCCCGTATTGCTAGCGTCGGTGTCCAACACGAATGGCACGGAAAAATCGGGGTACGCAAGGGACGGTGCCGTCACGAGCGCGTTCCGCAAGGAGTCGAACGCAGCCTGTTCTGCGTCCCCCCAATGAAACGCCACCCCTTTTGACGTAAGGGCGTGGAGCGGCTTGGCAATCGTCGCGAAGCCAGCAACAAACCGGCGGTAGTACGACGCAAAACCAATAAAACTACGAACATCGCCCGCAGATGTAGGGGTCGGCCAATGTTGAACACATTTGTTTTTTTCAGGGTCGGTAGAGATGCCCGAGCGGCTAACTATGTGGCCCAGATAGCGCACAAACTCACGCAGAAGGTGACACTTCTGCGGCTTGAATTTCAAGTTAGCGGCCCGCATTTTCAAGAAGACAGCACGCAACCGTTCGATGTGTTCGCCGAACGTGCGGCTAAAGACGATGACGTCGTCAAGATAAATGAGACATGAGTCCCACTGGAGCCCAGCAAGGACCAGCTCCATGAGCCTCTGGAATGTCGCTGGGGCCGAGTGGAGACCCATGGGCAATCTATTAAACTCGAAAAGGCCCTGTGGTGTCCGAAAAGCAGTCTTAGGTTTGACGATTCGTCGAGGGGGAGTTGCCAAAACCCCGACAGAAGGTCCAAGGTGGAGAAATAGTGCGCCCCTGCCAGGGCATCCAATGACTCGTCCATACGAGGGAGAGGGTAGGCGTCCGCTACCGAGATTTTATTTAGGCGCCGAAAATCAACGCAAAAACGGAGACTGCCATCGTGCTTTTTGACCAGCACTATTGGAGCACCCCAGGGACTAGTGGAGGGAGAAATTATATCGGCCTTCAGCATGTCATCCACAGCCGATTTAACATGCTGTTTCTCCGCCGGGCTAAGCCGAAACGGGTTTTGTCGAATCGGGGCAGCGTCACCAGTATCAATGTGGTGACGCAGCAGCTTGGTGCAGCCAATATCAAATTTAGATTTACTAAAGACATCGGAAAATTCTCGCAGAAGAGCGCGCAATTTAATTCGCTGCGAATGAGACAGATCACCCGTGTCTGTGCAGAGCGCGTCCAACCATCTCTCATCCGATTCGGAAGGAGGTGGGACCTGCGGCGTGTCATGCACGTGTCCCGCGACTCCGGTCCCCAACGGCACCGGGGTCGCGTGAGCGAGCACAGTTCCTTGCGGAATGACGGTTGTGGACAATCCGACATTCAAAACCTGCAAGAACAGCTCCCTGTCGGCTGCTACGAGGGTCTGTGCAGCCACCAAATCTAACCCCTTAGCATCTGCGTTTGAAGGCCCCAGCAAAATGCCATGTGCCGAGGCCTCCGGGGCTAGCGGTTTTTTAAGTTGCAAGGGCACGAGCATTTGTGTCCCTGGCGGAATGCGGACTGTGCTCGCGACAAACGCCTGCACCGAGGCACTAGCCATGCGCGGATGTGAGGGTGTGGGCAAGAACGCCATCCGTCGACCCGACGGGAGTTCGATGCAGCCTTGATCTACAAGGATCTTAATAGGCATTTTCGCGAGAAAATCAGTGCCTAACAAACACGGCACGGCGAGGGAAGAAGAGACCAAAATAGGCCCTGCCAATTTAATGTCTCCAATCGAAATTTGCGCCCGAATTTGCCCAATAATGCCAAGTGAACTGCCATTAGCGGCGAAACACGGGATAGAAACCCGTTCCAAGGGGCGGCATCGTACGGGCAGTATATTGTAAATCAAATCCGAAATGATCGTAGCCGATGCACCAGTATCGACCAACACGCGAAATTCCACACCCTCGATTGATCCGACAACCACGGACGAACCTGCCGTCGCCGCGACTACCCTATGGGCCAACTCAGACCACTGCCCAGGTCCGAGTGGCCGCGAACAAACGCCAGAATACCCCCCATCACACGCCGAATCGCGAGCCCTTCTTATGGTGCGTTGCAGTGTGTATGGTGTGAATGAGGGCCGAGCGTGAGAGGCGTCGCGACTTGCCTGGTTTTGCCGCGATGCCGTGGACGTCCTGTAGTCCTGGCCCCGGGATGCGGAGGGGCGTCGTCGAGGCGCACGACAGTCAGAGGAGATGTGGCCTCGTCGGCCACAGTTGAAGCACGTCACGTCGCCGCGTGGAGCAGGCCGTCCCCGCTGCTGGTCATTGCGGCGACCACCGTGGTCGGACGATCGCCGGCCCGTTGACCTGGTCGCCATGAAGGCCCGGTCGGGGGAGAACTCGGCGTCCCTGCTGGCAGGCTCCGACGTCGAAGCCGAGGCGGCAATGGTCGATTCCGTGTGGAGCAGCAGATGTGCGTGGATGCACCGAGCAGCTCGTAGCGAGCACATACCGTCGTCGTCCACCGCTTGGATGACGATGCGCAGCTCGCGCGCCAGCTCCAGCATCTTCTGGAGAACAATGGCATCAATGGCCTCGTCGTCCATGCGAGGGTAACCCGCTCTTGCCATCGCCAGTAGAGCGGTCCAGAATGCCAACGGAGACTCTTTAGGGCGGCGTCGCCTGTCGTAAAATCGGTTGCCGACGTCGGATGGAGGCCCGTACACATCGGACATCCGTCGGAGGGCCGATTGAAGAGTCGCCCTTTGTTGCCTGGGGATGGTGAGGAGCGAGGCGAGAGCGTCGTCATCCAAAGTGGCCGGTAGTGCTCGGAGCGCCTGTGCGTCCGACCAGCCCACCATCTCTTGGTGGCTCAGGAAGCGACGCTGGAACGCCGCCCAGTCGCCCCCTTCAGATGTGAATTGTCGGAAGATGGGCAGGCGTTGTTGGAGGGCGGACGTCGTCTCCCCCTCAGCTTGTACCGTCTCGAGCCGGAGATCGGCGATTTCCCGGCCGATAGAGTCTACTGTACCGTGTCGGTACAGTGATGACGCGGCGTCCGCTGAGGAACTTGAATTCGCAGCGTCGCGTGCTGATGACGTTGCGGGTTGTGATTGGCCCCCCGCGTTCCCAGGATGCCCCTGGCTTCCGCTTCCGGCGGAATCACGTGGTTCCCCGGCGGGAAAATCAAAATGTCTGCCCTGGCCGATGGCGGGAACGTCTGCCGGCGGTTGACTCGGCCTGCCCGCAACCTCCAAGTTGATCTCTTCGAGAATGGAGGCCGCGGCGTGTAGGAGTTGAGCGAGACGGCGGTGTGCTGCCCTGAGTCCGTCCCCCATGGCAGGGGGAGCAACCGGCTGCTCAACCGGTGGCTGGGCGGCCGTCAACGCGGCAGCGTTTTCAGCGGAGCTGGCGGTGCTTGCAGGTGAGACAGCGTTATCTTCGTTCTGGCTCCACGCATGGGCTGAACTTCTGGTTTCCATTTCCAACCACTTCTGACTCCAGTTGTAGTGTTGTAAGGACGAGCAGACTTCTTTAGGAGGCACACTGTTTATTGTATTATTTTCTTATACAACGCTTAACACACACAGAGGGATATTCGGTCCCCTCACCCGATACCCTAGGGAGGTACAGCCTCCGGACCTGGCGGGACTCTCACGTCTACCACTAACCTCCTTGATACCTAAGGAGGTACAACCTCCGGACTTGGCGGGACTCACACGTCTACCGCTATCCTAGTCCTCCGGCTAGGACCTAGGGGAGGCTATCTGACCCACCGCTGGCCCGGTGGGTCCTGACCACTGGGTATGCCGAGCCTTAGCCCTTAGAAGGGCTGAAAGGCTGGTCCAGGGTCCTAGCTAGGCTTCAGCCCAGTCTTCTATCTTCGTGCAGGGAGAGAACTCCCCGAGGTCCGTTGGGTCACCCATCTTATACCCCTTCGTGGCCAGGTAGAACCAATCATACATTCCCACGTGGAACCGTCTGATTGGTTCGCACCAAACCCTGGCCACGATCCATTTCACCTCGACTGACCCCAACCGTTGTACCCAGGGGTAATGCTGCACTGCCCTGGTGGCAATGCAGGTTACGCAACAGCGCGTAGTTAACACCTCTACACTTGTACCGAAAACACCTCAAGCCCCCAGGAGGGGCGCTGGGTCTGCGTGTGTTGAACACATGATGCTCTGGGCTGCTTCGTCAATCTCTCTCCACCGCTGGGGTGGTTGCCGAGTCGGCACGCTGGTCACGCTGTCGGTGGTGCCCGTGCTGGCAGGGATGATGGGTCCGGCTACGTCTCCATTGATGTGCGCGATCATCCCGTCGCCAGACACCGCTTGCAGCTCGTCTGCTGGTTGCCGCGCGTCACCCTCCTTGGCACCAGACACTTTTGATCCTTGTACACTGTGGAGTGACTTGGAGAGACAGCGCCTGTCGTCTCCACCCCCCCCCCCTCTTCAAGAGAGTCCTCTTCGAGTTGTCTGTACGACTCGTGCTGCACAGAGGACATGCTACAGATCAAGTTATATCGTTCCGTGTCAGTCTCTGTTCCGATCCTCAACTAAACTTCGCCTGTGGGTTGCGATTTGAAGGGGCACTCTCACGAATAGTGGTTGCACCAGCTTTCACTAAAAGGGTTGACTTTGATCGGAGCACAATTGGAACGATTGTCATGCTATGATCGTATGTGTTGGCTGTACACAGCGACCTCGCCACCGGGAATAGTAATGTTACAGCACTCCCCCCCCCCCCCCCCCCCCAGCCTTGGCTGGAAGCCTCTCTTAATGACTCTCCGTGATGCGTGGCTTCTGCCGATGAAAAGCTCTCTATTAATTTGCCATTCACGAGGGCGATCCCCGGAGCCTGCCACTTGCAGTACTTCTTTCGTATGGCATTGTGAAAAGCAACAGTTTTTATTTTTAATATTTGAGCAGTACTGATTTCTGTTCTTGCATTCTTGCTTATATCTGAATTTTTCCACCTTGGGCTCTTTCTTATCACAAAGGGGCAGCTGTTTTCCTTTTGAAGTCGCTTGGGCTGTTTGTTGTTCAGATGTCTTTATAACCGCCATGTTTCTGTTAACGTTTTGGGCAGCGTTCCCCACGCTCCCATCACGGGTTGGAAGTATAAAAAAAAATTTGCATCAGACTTGCAGTCTCTCTGAAAAAGGGGCGCTGTGGCCTTTGAAATAGGGACCTATTGTGCACGGGTGTGCTTGCTGTCGCCATGTATTCCGTTCTCTCATCACGGCTTGGAAGCAAAACAATTTTCATTTTACACCTCATAGCTTGGTACCGTAGCACTTTCCGCAGTTTTGACTCTGCAAGTAACTCCAAGTACGTTTTGAGCAGCGTTCACTGGACTCGTCGCGGTTTGGAATTCTTGCGTACATAATTTACTGCTACCATGTGCTGTTAGCTACTGGAAGCCAAAGGCGGTTGGTGAGGCTCTGATCCCGTGGAATACGTAGTATCTTGGTCGTGTGTGATTGACCCATTTCGCATTGTATCACTTCTGAATGACTCTAGGTCTAATACTTTTGTTGATAAGTTGCTGGTGACTCAGAGACGATGTGAAGGTTAAGGGCTTGCGCCTTTGGTTTATTAAAGATATTCAAATAACACAAGGGTGTAACAACTCCCAGGGATTAGGGGTCCTACACTGAGTCCTGCCACACGACCCTACTCTGTCTGGTCCCAGCCCGGCTAGCTCCGGTCTCTCTCTAACGTGGCGGTTTAGGGACTCTGCCAGCTCCACCGACAGAAGCACCTCTAACGGCTAACACCGGCTTCTCCTCAGACTCACCACTCGATCCCTCTACCTCTGGTTCCCTCTTCACCCTTCTACCATTACCGCAGTGACCCCGCTTACGTCACGGAGTCCTCTAAATACTCGAGACGTGATGTCATCGAGCCGCCCAGCGCGCATGACGTCAAGTTCCGTGACATCACCGCACTGGACTGCACACATGACGTCACGTCCCCATTTTACTCCTCCACACTTTCATAATTACTTGGTTCATGCTTAACCAAGTTTTGTGGTATACCATAGTTGATACCAAGGATATTCCGAGGATTTTATTAACCTTTGTTCCCCATCTGTATGGCCAGGGATCCGTGCTTATTCTCAAGTTATATTTCGATATCCTGAGGTTGAAGATATAGCTAAGCTTCAAACTTTACTGTTGTATTTTAAAAACCCTAGTCAGCTCATAATTATTAACAACCCTTGGGTGGATTTTGCTGTCCAAGGGAGGTTTGTGACCCCTGCTGTTTCCATCTTGTTTGTTTTATTGTGGGTTGTTTCCTTTAAGGCGGCCTTCTCTTGAAGTCAACTGGGGATTACCCTCAGAATCTCATTAGCCCCTCCTTGGGTTTGCCGTTTTTTCATAATACATTTTACGACTTCCAAAACAGGCTTGTGAGTAATTATCCAGCTGTCTTTTGCGTGGCAAGGCAGGAGGCAGCTGGGGGGGGGGGGGGGTGTGGGGACTCACCCTTTCCATGCCCCAGCACTACATCCCAATCAAAATTATTACCAAAAAATTGGCAGAATCACACTTAATATATATTTTTGGAAAAGGCATATACAGTATACACCATGCTCTTTGAGTGATAATAGGTTTATCCCTTTTTTATGGCAACAAAAAAGGTGTTGAGATGTTAAAACACCAAACTGAAACCTTTAACAAGGAATCATGTCACTGCATTAACCACAATACTTGTGGTCAGAATGCAAACAATAAACACTGATAATATGATGCATTGTCTTTGAAACTGATTGGTCCACACCAGAGACAGCTTTCGTTTGAGCCTAGTATCAAACCGTGTTAGACCAGAGGAAGCTAAACGGCAAGTGTTTGTGATGAGATATGCTACGAAACTCCGATTTGCTGAGGCGATTAAGCAAGCACCATATACATGCTAATATTATAACATAGTGAATCCTTGGGAGCTTATTGGCTCTGGCTCCTAGTTAGAGATCTACCCAACCCAGAGGTCCGCAAATACTGGCCGCTCTTACTCTGCAGGTTGAACCTAGGAATGGAGTGTTCAACTTCACATTCTTTCCATTCAAGGCCTGTGACAAAGATGAATCTATTAGCGCTTCATTGTCTCAAGCTTACACATCTACAGGGTAACCATTTGACTTTGTATTGTCTAAGAAGTCCACCCACACCTCCACTTCCACAAACCGCTGGGAGTTGCCTCGCTCTGCCTCACAGTCAGAATTCTCCTCCTGCTTCACGTTGCCTCCATCGATGTGAAGGTCCAATTTTGGAGTTGCATCTTCATCTTCACATTTTACCATCACTTCTTCGCTCTTCATCACTTCTTCACATTTTACCTTCACTTCTTCACATTTTACCTTCACTTCTTCGCTCTTCACTGTCACCTCTTCAAATTTCACCTTGAAACATTTCATAGTGTCCAAGCTGGAATTCAGTTCTGGTTCTTTTTTCAGGAGGGATGGGCTCATTGCAGCACTTTGACTTTCACAAGTCGATTTCAGACTACACTCCGTGGGGATCTTCTGATGCCTGGGTGTTCTCTGGTGTCGACGAAGAACTGATGACTGTGCAAATGCCTTCTCACACACACTGCACTTGAAGGGTTTCTCTCCTGTGTGTTTTCCCTGTTGTATTTTAAGATTTGATGAATCTGAAAATGCCTTCCCACACACACTGCACTTGAAGGGTTTCTCTCCTGTGTGTGTTCTCTGGTGCCTTTGAAGATATGATGACCGTGTGAACGCCTTTCCGCACACAGTGCACTTGAAGGGTTTCTCTCCTGTGTGTGTTCTTTGGTGTTTTTTAAGATCTGATGACTTTGCAAACGCTTTATCGCACAAAAGGCACCTGAAGGGTTTCCCTCCCATGTGTGTCCTCTGGTGCCGTTTAAGAGGATATGAACCTGAAAATACCTTCCCACACAAACTGCATGTGAAGGGTTTCTCTCCTGTGTGTGTTTTCTGGTGGATCTGAAGACCTGATGACCATGCAAATGCCTTCTCACAGACAGGGCACTTGAAGGGTTTCTCTCCTGTGTGCGTTCTCTGATGTATTTTAAGTTGTGATGAATCTGCAAAGGGCTTCCCGCACAGAGTGCACCTGAAGGGTTTCTCTCCTGTGTGTGTTCTCCGGTGTTTTTTAAGTTGTGATGAATCTGCAAAGGGCTTCCCGCACAGAGTGCACCGGAAGGGTTTCTCTCCTGTGTGTGTTCTCCGGTGTTTTTTAAGATGTGATGAATCTGCACAGGGCTTCCCGCACAGAGTGCACCTGAAGGGGTTCTCTCCTGTGTGTGTTCTCTGGTGCATTTTAAAACAAAATGAACTTGAAAATGTCTTCTTACACAAACTGCACTTTAAATGTTTCCCTTCCATGTGTGATCTCTGGTGGATCTGAAGACATGATAACCATGCAAATGCCTTGTCACAGACAGTGCATTTGAAGGGCTTCTCTCCTGTGTGTGTTCTCTGGTGCCTCTGAAGAACTGATGATTCTGCAAATGCCTTCTCACAGACAGTGCACTTGAAAGGTTTCTCTCCCGTGTGTATTTTAAGGTGTGTTTTAAGATTTGATGACCGTGCAAATGCCTTCTCACACACACTGCACTTGAAGGGTTTCTCTCCTGTGTGTGTTCTCTGGTGGATCTGAAGAACTGATGACTCTGCAAATGCCTTCTCACAGACAGTGCATTTGAAAGGTTTCTCTCCCGTGTGTATTTTCTGATGTGTTTTAAGGGCGGATGAATATGAAAATGCCTTCCCACACACACTACACCTGAACGGTTTCTCTCCCGTGTGTGTTCTCTGGTGTTTTTTAAGAACATATGAATCTGAAAATGCCTTCCCACACACACTACACCTGAAGGGTTTCTCTCCCGTGTGTGTTCTCTGGTGTTTCTTAAGAACAGATGAATTTGAAAATGCCTTCCCACACACACTACACCTGAAGTGTTTCTCTCCCGTGTGTGTTCTCTGGTGTTTTTGAAGACCTGATGACCATGCAAATGCCTTCTCACACACAGTGCACTTGAAGGGTTCATCTCCTGTATGTTCTCTCTGGTGCTTGTGTAGAATTGATGACCGTGAAAACGCCTTCCCGCACACAGTGCACTTGAAGGGTTTCTCTCCTGTGTGTGTTCTCTGGTGTATTTTAAGATATGACGACTCTGTAAATGCCTTCTCACACACAGTGCATTTGAAAGGTTTCTCTCCTGTATGTGTTCTCTGGTGTCTTTTAAGGGCAGATGAATCTGAAAATGCCTTCTCACACACAGTGCACTTGAAGGGTTTCTCTCCTGTGTGAGTTCTCTGGTGCCGTGTCACACTTCCAGTACAATCCATGCTGTTTGCATCCTGGTCCCATTGTTGTCTTTTTGAACCGGGCTGCGCCGAGTGTCTTTGCTCCATCAGACCAATTCTGCTGAGGAAGCGTCAGAAGAATTGTCAGCTGCAGACAGAAAAAAATATCCACACCATCTACGTCAGTACCGAGGCACAGAGGAATAAATATATAGACATAATCACACATGACTTACACGTCTATATTTATTCATATATTCAAGATATTCCCCAATCCATCACACGGGCTGTGAAGGCACACAATGAGAGGGCAAATGGTTATAAATATGTCTGGAGGCCCTAGTATCTTCTAAATAAATATTAACCCAAAACACCAAGCACACAATTTCGGCTGCCTGGCTACAAAAGCAATATTTATAAAAGCAAAATTCAGCTAACATAGCAAAGGCTGTTGGAAATAATACTATTTGTATTATGCAGAAATGCATAAATTTATATTAAATTGCAACTTAGAGGTGTGAAGCCAGGCTCAGATTTGCTTGAATGTTTGGATGAACAGCAGCATATATGCTGTGTTAATTTCCTGACTGTTTCGATTCTTACAAAAAGTTCAAGAGGAAAACTAAAATAAGCTATTGTTTTGATTTAACCTCCATGTTCAACATCGGAGAGGACGACAATAAGTTCAGCTTTCACTTATCAATCATGTTTGCTGTCTGCGATAATCAAACTAATTATTGAATTCATAATGCAGTGAAATAACTGCCACAGCTCCCTACAAAAATAAACTCTTCAATACACATATTTCGCATGGATCATTACATCTTACCTATACAAATCATTTGTCTGTTTTTCTGTCCGTCTGTGTGTATACGAAACTTGTGACGGATTTGACTCGTGAACCGTGGAGTTTACGTTTAAAAAAAGTACCCGGGTACCACGAGATAGGCCCGGTGGTGAGCCAGCGCTGATCGTATTTTGCGTCCGTCAACTTTAAAGTAGTTAAATTAACAATTTAGTATAATAGGTTTTCCTATTTTTTTCTGGCAACAAAATGGGTGTTAAGATGTTAAAACACCAAACTGAAACCTTTTGCAAGGAATCATGTCTGCATTAACCACAATACTTGCAGTCAAAATGCAAACAAAAAAAACACTCTGAAAAAAATGTATTGTCCTTGAAACTGATTGGTCCACATCAGAGACAGCTTTCATTAGAGCCTCGTCTCAAACAGTGTTAGACCAGAGGACGCCAAAAGGCGAAGGAGGTCCCATGATATAACAATTTAGTACTATTAATAATTATTTTACTACGCTGCGTGCGCCAAAACTCACATCTGCGCATGCGCGAGGCCGGGGCCCCTACATGGGACTAGGCCAAAATCGCGTAGATAGAAAAATGTGAATAAAAAAGACAAATAATGAAAATCGAAATATAAAAATAATTAAAAAAGCACTAATGTAGATAGGCTTGGTTCTTAATCGGAGTTAAGTGTACTAGCAGTCTATAATGCAGACTATGTTTAGGGCCAGCCTAGCTCTAATATCAGAGAGAATAAGATTGCTCCCATTTTTTATTTGATAATTTAGACAAGACTCTCTTAAATCACACTTAACATTAACAGATAAAATGTCCACATCTGATTGGGACCATGTAGATAACATGACAGTTCCTTCAGCTACTTCAATGTCAACTAAATGTAAAGTTAACTTGATTGCTAAATTCAACCTCCTGTCAAAAAAGAAGCCCAAGCCACACGTTAAAAAGTCAGATGTTAACAATATTTTTTTCAATCAGAGTAACAGCCCAATTTCCAACAGCCTAAAATCAGTAGTAGCTAAAGGGTTGAATTTCACAGTCTCCCCTAAACACATCCCAGTGTGTGATATCATTGCCCAGGTCGACATAGCCCTCAAAGGTTTGGGACACATCCCGGCAGACGTTGCAAGATCTGAAATCGCTGCTATCCTCAAAAACGCTAAGAAACCCGTTAGCAACATCACCAAGGACGAGCGTTTTCAACTCACTCAATTAAAAAAAGAGAGATGACATTGTCATCCTCTCAGCCGACAAAGGCAATGCCACTGTCATCATGGATAAAACCACTTACAACAACAAAATTCAGGACCTTCTGAATGATGGCAGCTATACCAAAATCAATAGAGATCCCACCAACCGCCTAACCAAGAAAACCAACAATATCATCACTAATTCGACTTCTCTAATCGAACCGACCAAGCAGCTCTCTCTATAAAACCTTCGGCTGCTAGACCACCCAGATTTTATGGCCTTACAAAAATCCACAAAGTAGGTACCCTGCTCCATCCTATCGTCTTCACAATTAACTCACCCACCTAGAAACTGGCCCCATTTCTGTCTGAGACCCTGCTTCCTTTCACGGGCAAGACCACCTCAGCTGTACTTAACTCAGCTCACTTGGTTTCTCTAATGAAGGACATCTCACTGTCTCCCGATGATTTGCTTGTCAGTTTCGATGTAGACTCCCTGTTCACCAAGGTACCTGTACCTGACACCATTGCAATCATTGAAGACTTGGTACAACAGTGACTGAATCCAGATGTACCAACTTTGGTAAGGCACTGCCTTACCAACACTTACTTCACCTGGTATGGTACATTCTACAAACAAAATGAGGGTACCCCAATGGGTTCTACCTTACTACTACAGCCAGTACACACTGCTAGAGAGTTAGTATAGCTACTAATACAGCCAGTACACACTGCTATAGAGTTAGTCTAGCTACTACTACAGCCAGGACACGCTGCTAAAAAGTATAGTAGTTATACTAACTCTATAGCAGTGTGTACTGGCCATAGAAGTAGTCATATTAACGCTCAACCACATCAATTCCATACAGCCATCTATCAAATTCACCATGGAAGTGGAAAATGATGGCAAGCTACCATTCCTGGATGTTGTGATCGAGAAGAGACCTGATGGCTTGTTGGGACACACTGTCTACAGGAAAGCCAACCACATGGATGCCTATCTAATGCCTGACTCCCACCACCGTCCAGCCCAGAAAAATTCCCTCCTCAAAACACTACACCATAGGACCCGTTGCATCTCTGACCAGCGCCACCTAGCCAGTGAGCAGAAGCACGTACACCAAGCCCAAAGGATGAATGGATATTATGACCGTACAATCCGCAAAGCTGTCTCCCCAGCCATGGGGAGACAACCATCTTAGGATCCAATCAAAACCATCACTTTGCCATACATAGCAGGGGTTACCAAAAATATTTCCAAAAATCTTAAACAAACACAAGATCGAGGTTTGTTTCAACACAGTACACAAAATCCGTGATTTGATCCCATCTGTGAAGGATGTGATTCCTGACACGCAATACCCTGGTGTCTACAAACTAAGTTGTGGCTGCGGCAGCAGTTACATTGGGGAAACGAAACGACATGTCTCGGACCGTGTTCGCGAACACAAGACAGATCTGAAACACGGTAGGATCAATACCTCTGCCATTGCTGATCATTGTTTTAACGCTGTGGGCTCACACGAAATAGATTTTTCCAAGATGAAAGATTTGTTCATGAAGCCATCCAGATATATAGGGAAGGACGTTATTAACCAGGTAAAGCCTTAACTGACTGTGATGTTTCCATCCTACCTGCCTATGTGAGCTGTTATTTCCAACTCTCTGTGTGTCTCTCACCATGTGTACCTCTTGCTCTTAGGGGTTTTTTGTTCCTCTTGCCCGGCTCTCTGACAATGACATGCTAATCATCTCATTGGCACACCTCAGGTGTCTGGGCCGTCTCACATTGACATGCTAATCTCTCACATTTACATTTATGTACAAATTCCTTCTCTAGCTCTGCCCACTTATCCTATATGAACTCTTGTTGTAGCAGCTCTTTCTCCTATGTCAGCAGTCATCCTGCTGTGTTTGTTTCACACCTGATGACAGTTGCTTGAGTTGCGATCGAAACGTCGTGATCTATTATTTTTTCTACCTACGTGAAATTACTGAAAGAACCAAAGAGTATGGATTCCTGCAGTCACGAAAGCTTCAAACCAAGATTAGACTACAGCAATGGTTATTAAGTTGGTTGCGTGTACTGACAGTCTATAATGTGTAGACTGTATGTTTCTTATTAAGTTTGGTGAGTTTACTCGCAATCTTTCATGTGGAATGTAGCAATAGTTATTAAGCTAGGCCAGTGTACTGGCAGTCTATAGACTTATTCTCGGTTATTAATAACCATTTATTCAGTCTACATTATAGACTGCCAGTACATTCACAAAACTTAATAACCAGGCTACAGCTGACATTTATGGTTATTTTTATTTTTTTATTCACTTTATTATTCACTTAATTTCTATTCCTATTTGTCTATCTCCATGACTCAACCAAAAAACCAAAGATTATAAAAAGAGTCAGTATAGCTACTACTATAGCCACTACACACTGCTATAGAGTTAGTATAGCGACTATTACGGCCAGTACACACTGCTATCGAGTTAGTATAGCTACTACTGCGACCAGTACACACAGCTATAGAGTTAGGATAGCGACTACTACAGCCAGTACATACTGCTATAGAGTTAGTATAGCTACTATTACAGCCAGCACACACTGATATACAGATAGTATAGTTACTACAACAGCCAGTACACACTGCCATAGAATTAAATATAGCTAAAACTACAGACAGACGGTATTGCTAAAGTTAGTATAGCTACTACTACAGCCAATACATACTACTGTAGTGATAGTAGCTACCACTACAGCCAGTACATACTACTGTAGTGATAGTAGCTACCACTACAGCCAATATATACTACTGTAGTGATAGTAGATACTACTACAGCCAGTACATACCACTGTAGTCATAGTAGCTACTACTATAGCCAGTACATACCACTGTAGTGATAGTAGCTACTACTAAAGCCAGTACATACTACTGTAGTGATAGTAATTACACCCAGTACATACCACTGTAGTGATAGTAGCTACTACTAAAGCCAGTATATACTACTGTAGTGATAGTAGCTACTACTACAGCTAGTACATACCACTGTAGTGATAGTAGCTACTACAGCCAATACATACCACTGTAGTGATAGTAGCTACTACTACAGCCAGTACATACCACTGTAGTGATAGTAGCTACTACTACAGCCAGTACATACTACTGTAGTGATAGCAGCTACTACTACAGCCAATGCATACTACTGTAGTGAAAGTAGCTACCACTACAGCCAATACATACTACTGTAGTGATAGTAGATACTACTACAGCCAGTACATACCACTGTAGTCATAGTAGCTACTACTATAGCCAGTACATACTACTGTAGTGATAGCAGCTACTACTACAGCCAATGCATACTACTGTAGTGAAAGTAGCTACCACTACAGCCAGTACATACTACTGTAGTGATAGTAGCTACCACTACAGCCAATACATACTACTGTAGTGATAGTAGATACTACTACAGCCAGTACATACTACTGTAGTTATAGTAGCTACTACTATAGCCAGTACATACCACTGTAGTGATAATAGCTACTACTAAAGCCAGTATATACTACTGTAGTGATAGTAGCTACTACTACAGCTAGCACATACCACTGTAGTGATAGTAGTTACTACAGCCAGTACATACCACTGTAGTGATAGTAGCTACTACTACAGCCAGTACATACCACTGTAGTGATAGTAGCTACGACTACAGCCAGTACATACTACTGTAGTGATAGTAGCTACGACTACAGCCAGTACATACTACTGTAGTGATAGCAGCTACTACTACAGCCAGTACATACTACTGTAGTGATAGTAGCTACTACTACAGCCAGTACATACCACTGTAGTCATAGTAGCTACTACTATAGCCAGTACATACTGTAGTGATAGTAGATACTACTACAGCCAGTACATACCACTGTAGTCATAGTAGCTACTACTATAGCCAGTACATACTACTGTAGTGATAGTAGCTACTACTATAGCCAGTACATACTACTGTAATGATAGTAGATACTACTGTAGTGATAGTAGCTACTACTATAGCCAGTACATACCACTGTATTGATAGTAGATAGTGTTATCGAGTCGGTATATACTACTATAGAGTTAGTAGATATTACTAAAGTCAGTATTTCCTACTATAGAGTTAGTAGCTACTGCTATAGAGTCGATATATACCAAGGCCGTAGCCATGGAGTCACCATTGGGGGGGACCAAATCTTCCAGGGGGTCTGAGGGTCCCAAACCAGAAAAATATCTAAATTTGAAAACTAATTTCCTGCCTAAAAATATTAAAAAATTCACTAACACGAGATACTTTTTTTTTACAATCATGTATAATAGTGTATTGTATTACATTGCTCTGTATTTACTTTTTTACCATTTCTTGTTTCATTGTATGTACTGTTTGAGATTAGGGATCAATAAAGTAAAACCATAACCACAATCATATAAACAGAAATCTATGCATTGATTTAAATGAAGTCCAAATATTGTGGCCAAGGTATAGCAAATTGTTCGTTTTATTTACATACCAAAGCAATTATTATTACATTTTTTTATATTTTTATAGCAATATATTGGGACGGGGCGGACACTTTGAGCATATTTGAATATTGGGGGGGGGGGGATGTGTCCTACTGACTGGGATGTGTCCCCCCCCCCCCCAATATATATTATATTTACGGCCTTGATATATACTATTAAAGAGTCGGTAGATACTACTGCAGTCAGTAGAAACTACTGTAGAGTTACTATATACTACTCTAGTCAGTAGTTACGACTATAAAGTCGGTAGTTACTATTGTAGAGTCAGTAGATACAACTGCAGTCAGTAGAAGCTACTTTTAAAGAGTAAGCAAATAATACTTTCGAATAAATCGTTCCCACTATAGTCGGCAGATACTACTATAGAATCAGTAGATACTAGTCAGTAGATACCACTACTCAGTAAATACTGCGACAGTCAGTTGATACTACTATACAGTCCATAGATACTACTATGATCAGTAGAAACTACTATAGAGTAAGTAGATACTACTGTCAGTAGATACTATAGTCAGTAGATACTACTAAAGAGTAAGTACATACTACTGTCAGTACATACTACTGTCAGTACATACTACTGTCAGTACATACTACTGTCAGTACATACTACTGTCAGTACATACTACTGTCAGTAGATACTACAGTCAGTAGATACTACAGTCAGTAGATACTACAGTCAGTAGAGACTACAGTCAGTAGAGACTACAGTCAGTAGATACTACTGTAGAGTTAGTAGATACTCCTGTCAGTAGATACTACTATGGTCAGTAAATATTACTAGTCAGTAGATACTACTATAGTCAGCAGATACTACTGTATAGTAAGAAGATACTGCTGTCATTAGATAATACTATGGTCAGTAAATACTACTAGTCAGTAGATACTACTATAGTCAATAGATACTACTGTAGAGTTACTAGTTACTACTATAGTCAGGGTATACTACTATAGTCGGTAGATAACGTGACAACCCATACTAGTTGGCTGTGTCGGGTGGTGGAGGGGTTTAACTACACATATATTTACGCGATCTAACCCAAACAAACCTGTATTAAGGATGTATATTTGGAGTTTGCGTGTCTCTCTCCTCGTGGTCGCGTGGACTTTCCTCAGGATCCTCAGGATTTGTTTCCCTGCACATTTAGAGTCAACATCACCACGCGTTTAGAGTATTTAACCGACAGACATTTCCACATACTGTTTGGTTCTATTCGGTAAAGTCACGTAGGTAAAAAATAAAACAACAGACACTACTACTACGGTCAGTATGGATCCTTGCAGTCGCGAAAGCTTCAAATCTAGACATTTCCACACGTTGATAAGCCACTTTGTTGTGGGCAGGTCGCTTCTGAAAATAAGAGCGGTATAGCAGCTCAAGTGGGCTTGGCCTTGGTAAGATAACAAAACAAAAACTGTAGATATATTTAAAAGAAAACAAAGTGACAAAGTAGTGAGCCAGGTGCATTCAGGCGAGGGCAGGAGGCAAGGCCCCGCATTGCTAGGCCCCGCGTTGTAATGTTCCAACCTGGACATCGATTCCATACTCGCTGCTACTCAATTGACATCCCTACGAGAGAGACGGAGCGAGGCTCTACCTGGGTAAACAACAACAACAACCACCACCACCACAACCACGATGTTAACTTCTCACCTCAAATCTCAGTGAGCGCAGGCGCGCGGATCGGCAGCTTCCTGGTATCTCGTGACGTCACGCGGCAGCAGGAGGTGACATGACGTCACTAGAGCGGTACAACACACTCCCATACCAAATGTGCGGCGGTGCAAGTTAATAAATTATGTTAATGAACTAGGCCCATAAGTGAGTGAACTCGCGGTGGAGGGGGGTTGGGGGGGTGCGTGAATACCTTGGTGACATGACGTCACTAGCGCGTTACACCTCCCCCTCGCGTCTCACGCCGATGAGGTAATGCAGAGTTGTGACGTCAGAGAGCGGGGTTTGAGTTTAAATTTATTTAGATTTTATTCCATTGCTCCCTCTCTTTCAGTTTCATTTATTTGGTATAGCCCTGTGAGCCATTCGGCTCTTGAATCGGGTGCAACCGCAACAAACACAAAACATGAACCAGAAAACATCTTAAAGTGACTATGTGTGACTGTGCAACCAGATAATCCAGGAAAAAAAAACAGCAAAATATTCCTGAAAAAGCACCGTACACCAACGCTGTGTGCAAAAAGCCGAGTGGGATGCAAGTCAAACAACAAGACAACGTAGATTAAGGCCATCAGTCTAACTCCGTACTACAACAAACAAACATGGCCAAACCAAAAATCGTTTTCGACATCACCAAAATAAAGCCATAAAAGCAATGTAACAGTGATCATAGGAACTGTGTGTGTGTGTACAAACTGTGTATACACTGTGTGTGTACTGTGTGTGTACAAACTGTGTATACACTGTGTGTACTGTGTGTGTGCAAACTGCGTATACACTGTGTGTGTGTACAAACTGTGTATACACTGTGTGTACTGTGTGTGTGTACAAACTGTGTATACACTGTCTGTACTGTGTGTGTGTACAAACTGTGTATACACTGTGCGTGTACTGTGTGTGTACAAACTGTGTATACACTGTGCGTGTACTGTGTGTGTACAAACTGTGTATACACTGTGCGTGTACTGTGTGTGTACAAACTGTGTATAGACTGATAGTGCGCTGTTTTTGAGTTGTACGCCTTTTGGCGTCTTCTGGTCCAACAAGTATCCAAAAACTACCCACCTGAGATCAATCATCACCCCCTACTGGCAGAGGAACATCCACTTAGACCGCTGCTGAGTCAACTCATGCAGCACAGGGACAGTTACACCGTGGGAGTGGCCGTCGACTGTTTGAAATGAGATTTTACAGCCACTTAAATACAAATATTTTTACAAGTATCCCAAGGTGCATGCTATTAGCTTCGGTGTCTCAGCCTCCTTCTTACAGGATCTACCCAAACACGTTTGGTCATATATATACTGGCTGCTCCTACTCTACATTATTAAAACATTCCACCCAAATCTACATCGAAAATCGGCTGGGATTTGTCCCGGGTTCACTCACAGTCCAACCTCTCCTCCCGCTTTCAGCTGCCTTTATTGACCTGGAGCACAAACCCTGGAGTCTTCATGTCACCTTTCCTCCTGGCCAAGTATCCAAGCAAGAATTTTCTAATGGTTCTTTCGTTGCAAGCTATGAGCTTATTGTGGCACTTGGAATTTCAAACCTCGAATGCAGACTCTGCTCCTTATTGATCTCCTTACGCGTGTTTCAGTTTTAAAACACTTCAAAGGCCTTCAAACACTGTACTTGACGGGGTTTTTTACGTGTTCCCTGGCGGTAGTGAAGATTTGATGACCGTGCAAACGTCTTAACACACAAAGTGCACCTGATGGGCTCCTCTTTTGTGCATGTTCTCTGTTGTCGGTCAAGATTTGATGACTGTGCAAATGAATTCCAAGAGTCGGTGCACAGTCGTCACGTCCCGTGGACGAGAGGAGTTCTGCTCTTGGTGAGGTCACAAACCAGATAGGGAAGCGCTGACATCACCCACGTGACTTTGAGGCGATATCTCCAGAGGCTTTTACATATTTAAGTAAACATGTGGTAAGCAGCAGGATATCGATGGACACGGTTATTTAAGTTTTATTTAAACAGATAGTAAAATCCAATAAAAGCTAGGCTAGAATACAAATCTTAAACAAAAATCCATGATACATTTCAAATGTGCTCTTAAAATTACCTCCTTGCTATGAGGCAGATAAGCAGACACGTGTCTTTCATTTATTGGTCTCTCCATGACACAGAGAAATTTTTTACACAAACTATAAATAGCAGCCTTCTAGGAGTACATAACTGATTCAGTGCAAGCCACCTGTGGACCAGTATTGGTGTACAATGTCTCAACAGCAGTCGGGCTTGCTTCAACCGATGGTTATGAACATTCAGATGTTAATCAGCAAGGAGCATTTCTAGTCCGAGTTCGACAAAATCTAAAAAACGCGTTGCAATGGTGCATCCTTTTGGGACATGCTTTAGCGGGTTTCGGTCTACATCCGAAACCCTAGCTAGCATCACTGTCGTTTAAATTACGGTGTGGCCTCTATTTCACGCGACACCCCATATTACAATGCGGGAAACACAACCAAGACCACTGCCGGTATATTCCAGCTGTATAGTGTTAACTTATTTAACCTCTACACAAATCTTACATTGTTAAAGGGCAACAGGGCTACTACTTCTCTGGAGGAGTGCACACATCACAAGCCACTATACCAACCCAAATAACCCTCACAATAACACAACAACCAACACAGTCACACAACAATGCAACAACTGCAGCCTCACCGACTTACTCCACCACGAATGCTGATGGGAGAAAACCGCTGAGCAAAACTCTGAAGGCACGCACGATGCACCACTCGGCTCTGGAACAGACCAAACAAAAACGCTCCAAACACCACCTCAGCGGATCAGTCCCAGCCACCTGGAGCCAGATCAGCGGGCCACCTTGAGCCGGATCAGGAGCGTAATGAAATTTCCCGCCCCTTCCTCTCGGTTCCCCACGGCGGGGCCTTTTATTGAATCACACCCTTGGGCCCTTCCCCCATTTGGTTGGCATGGTCTGCCCACGAGTCCAAACCCCCGTGCCCACGAGCCAATCCAATCCCACACACCTGCAACCACTTTCACACAAAGCAACCCCCCCCTTCTCCCCAATCAAAGAAACACCCCGCCTCTCAAAGCTATCACTCTGACTGCCACACACGTATGATAAAATTAGAATGTGTTGTGGAGAATGTATCTCCTATACATAAATTTTAAGTGGTATGCCTTGTAACTGATGAATTATGCGAATGTTCTTTATTTCAAAGACAATTACTTTTTCCAGAGGCAGATGCTTCCTCAATCACGAAAAATACCAGTTGACCCGTATCACAAGAACAGCTGTCACGTGAGTTATCTGTATAGGTTACTTCCAAAACACACACTTTCTTATACAATCACGTGTTCCATGTTTGACCTTATAGACAAAATGTTACATGTACGCACAAAATCAGACAAGTATTCATTAATTTTGATTTAAAGCTTTCGTGACTGCAGGGATTCATATTTTTGGATCTTTCGGTAAAGTCACATAGAAGGGAAACAATAAAATAATAAAACTATAAAACAATATTCTCAAGACGTTTCGACTGCAGCACAAGCAGTCATCATCAGGTGTGAAAACCTAAGCAAGAAAAAAATATTGCTGTGGTTTTCACACCTGATGATGATTGTTGTAGTCGAAACGTCGTGATAATTTTATTGTTTTATATTTTTATTATTTTGTTTCCCTTCTACATGACTTTACCGAAAGAACCTAGAATAAACATTCATCAAATTATAATTCTAAATTATCGATAGGCATATTGACAAAATGTAATTACTGCACTGAAATGTATTTCGTGTTATATCGTATTTACAAGTTGATCTCTGTCGGATGAGGCCTACACCTACAGTACTCAGATTGAGGGAAGCCAAGTGGTAGTGCATTCTCTTTTTGTTGCAGAGGTTCAATGTTCAAATCAGACAGGCATCCCTGATTAGTCCAGCAACATTAATTACAAATATGCACCGTACTTCTTAACATCTGATTCTAAAACATACTATTGTCATTCAAAACACCAGTATGCGATTGCATGCGATTGCATGCTGGCATTGTGGTTAAAATTTGGCAAATTCGAAACATTACCCACAAATGACACAACTGAGATTACACATCAATCATTGCGCCCTACTAACAGACTCATGCCCACATGCAGGCTGGTGCAGGACCACCTTATGCCACACAGGTGCAGCTGAAAAAAAGACATTTTTTAAAATTATGCTAATTTATATTAGGTTCAGCTTCGTTATCTAGGGGTATATTACCAATCGCGATAATACATTAGAAAATGTGTAATTATATGAAATTCTGTAAATGTATGCAATTATGCAAATTAGGCTCAGCTTCATTGTCTCAGGTGTATTACCAATTGTGAAAATACACTTATTATGTTTTAGAGTAATTCTATCAGGTCTCAGAATTCAGATCTCCTAGTTAGAGATCTACCCAACCCACAGGTCCGCAAATACTGACCGCTCTTACTGTGCAGGTTGAAACTAGGAATGGAGTGTTCAACTTCACGTTCTTTTCATTAAAGGCCTGTGACAAAGGTGACTATATTGGAGGTTCATTGTCTCAAGATTACACATTTACAGGGTCTCCATTTGACTTTGTATTGTCTAAGAAGTCCACCCACACCTCCACTTCCACAAACTGCTGGGAGTTGCCTCGCTCTGCCTCATAGTCAGAATTCTCCTCCTGCTTCACGTTGCCTCCATCGATGTGAAGGTCCAATTTTGGAGTTGAATCTTCATCTTCACATTTCACCTTCAAATCTTCGCTCTTCACTGTCACCTCTTCAAATTTCACCTTGAAACATTTCATAGTGTCCAAGCTGGAATTCACTTCTGGTTCTTTTTTCAGAAGGGATGGGCTCATTGCAGCACTTTGACTTTCACAAGTCGATTTCAGACTACACTCCTTGAGGATCTTCTGATGCCTGTGTGTTCTCTTGTGTCGATGCAGAACTGATGACTGTGCAAATGCCTTCTCACAGACACTGCACTTGAAGGGTTTCTCTCCTGTGTGTGTTCCCTGGTGTATTTTAAGATTTGATGAATCTGAAAATGCCTTCCCACACACACTGCACTTGCAAGGTTTCTCTCCTGTGTGTGTTCTCTGGTGCCTTTGAAGATATGATGACCGTGTGAACCCCTTTCCGCACACAGTGCACTTGAAGGGTTTCTCTCCCATGTGTGTTTTCTGGTGCCGTTTAAGAGGAGATGAACCTGAAAATACCTTCCCACACAAACTGCACTTGAAACGTTTCTCTCCCGTGTGTGTTCTCTGGTGGATCAGAAAACCTGTTAACCATGCAAATGCCTTCTCACAGACAGTGCACTTGAAGGGTTTCTCTCCTGTGTGTGTTCTCTGGTGGATCTGAAGACATGATGACCATGCAAATGCCTTCTCACACACAGTGCACTTGAAAGGTTTCTCTCCTGTGTGTGTTCTCTGGTGGATCTGAAGATCAGACGACCATGCAAATGCCTTCTCACACACAGTGCACTTGAAGGGTTTCTCTCCTGTGTGCGTTCTCTGGTGTTTTTTAAGATGTGATGAATCTGCAAAGGGCTTCCTGCACACAGTGCACCTGAAGGGTTTCTCTCCTGTGTGTGTTCTCTGGTGTTTTTTAAGATGTGATGAATCTGCAAAAGGCTTCCCGCACAGAGTACACCTGAAGGGTTTCTCTCCTGTGTGTCTTCTCTGGTGCATTTTAAAACAAAATGAACTTGAAAATGTCTTCTCACACAAACTGCACTTGAAATGTTTCTCTCCCGTGTGTGTTCTCTGGTGGATCTTAAGATCAGATGAACTTGAAAATGCCTTCCCACACACACTGCACTTGAAGGGTTTCTCTCCTGTGTGTATTCTCTGGTGTCTTTTAAGGGCAGACGAATCTGAAAATCCCTTCTCACACACAGTGCACTTGAAATGTTTCTCTCCTGTGTGTGTTCTCTGGTGTTTTTTAAGATTTGATGACTGTGCAAATGCCTTCTCACACACACTGCACTTGAAGGGTTTCTCTCCTGTGTGTGTTCTCTGGTGGATCTTAAGAACTGATGACTCTGCAAATGCCTTCTCACAGACAGTGCACTTGAACGGTTTCTCTCCCGTGTGTGTTCTCTGGTGTGTTTTAAGGGCGAATGAATCGGAAAAGTCTTTCCCACACACACTACACCTGAAGGGTTTTTCTCCCGTGTGTGTTCTCTGGTGTTTTTTAAGAACAGATGAATCTGAAAATGCACTCCCACACACACTACACCTGAAGGGTTTCTCTCCCGTGTGTGTTCTCTGGTGTTTTTTAAGAACAGATGAATTTGAAAATGCCTTCCCACATACACTACACCTGAAGGGTTTCTCTCCTGTGTGTGTTCTCTGGTGGATCTTAAGAACTGATGACTCTGCAAATGCCTTCTCACACACAGTGCACTTGAAGGGTTCAACTCCTGCATGTTTTCTCTGGTGCTTGTGCAGAATTGATGACCGTGAAAACGCCTTCCCGCACACAGTGCACTTGAAGGGTTTCTCTCCTGTGTGTGTTCTCTGGTGTATTTTAAGATATGATGACTCTGTAAATGCCTTCTCACACACAGTGCACTTGAAGGGTTTCTCTCCTGTGTGCATTTTCTGGTGTTTTTTAAGATATGATGACTCTGTAAATTCCTTCTCACACACAGTGCACTTGAAGGGTTTCTCTCCTGTGTGCGTTTTCTGGTGTTTTTTAAGAAGTGATGACCATGTAAATGCCTTCTCACACACAGTGCACTTGAAGGGTTTCTCTCCTGTTTGAGTTTTATGGTGCCGTGTCACACTTCCAGTACAATCCATGCTGTTTGCATCCTGGTCCCATTGTCTTTTTGTACCGGGCTGCGCTGAGTGCCTTTGCTCCATCAGACCAATTCTGCTGCTGAAGCGTCAGAAGAAGTGTCAGCTGCAGACAGAAAAAATATCCACACCAACTACGTCAGTATCAAGGCAAAGAGGAATAAATATATAGACAGTCACACATGACTTACACGTCTATATTTATTCATATACTCAAGATATTCCCCAATCCATCACACGGCCTGTGAAGGCACACAATGAGAGGGCAAATGGTTATAAATATGCCCTAGTATCTTCAAAATAAATATTAACGCAAAACACCAAGCACACAATTTCGGCTGCCTGGCAACAATAGCAATATTTATAAAAGCAAAATTCAGCTAACATAGCAAAGGCTGTTGAAATAATACTATTTGTATATTGCAGAAATGCGTGCGCCAAACCACACATCTGCGCATACGTGAGGCCGGGGCCCCTGCATGGGACTAGGCCTTATCACGGCACTGTTAATTAAGTACTATATTCTTGGTGCTTTCGGTAAAGTCATGTAGATAGCAAAATATAAAAAACAAGTTAATTAAAATCGAAATAGTAAAAAAAAAATTAAAACACTAATGTAGATAGGCCTGGTTCTTAATCGAAGTTAAGTCTACTGGCAGTCTATAATGTAGACTATGTTTAGGGCCAGCCTAGCTCTAATCTCAGAGAATAAGATTGAACCCGATTTGAACTTGATAATTTAGACAAGACTCTCTGTTAGCATTAACAGATAAAATGTCCACATCTGATCGGGACCATGTAGATAACATGACAGTTTCTTCAGCTACTTCAATGTCAACTAAATGTAAAGTTAACTTGATTGCTAAATTCAACCTCCTGTCAAACAAGAAGCCCAAGGCACACTTTAAAAAGTCAGATGTTAACAAGATTTTTTTTATCAATCAGAGTAACAGCCCAATTTCCGACAGCCTAAAATCGGTACTAGCTAAAGGGTTGAATTTCAGTCTCCCCTAAACACACCCCAGTGTGTGATATCATTGCCCAGGTCGACATAGCCCTCAAAGGTTTGGGACACATCCCAGCAGATGTTGCAATATCTGAAATCGCTGCTATCCTCAAAAACGCTAAGAAACCTGTTAGCAACATCAGCAAGGACGAGCGTTTTGAACTCGCTCAATTAAAAAATAGAGATGACATTGTCATCTTCTCAGCCAACAAAGGCAATGCCACTGTCATCATGGATAAAACCACATACAACAACAAAATTCAGGACATTCTTAAATGGCAGCTATACCAAAATCAATAGAGATCCCACCAACCGCCTAACTACAAAAAACAACAATATCATCACTAATTTGACTTCTCTAATCGAACTGACCAAGCAGCTCTCTCTAAAACCTTCGGCTGCTAGACCACCCAGATTTTATGGCTTTACCAAAATCCACAAAGTAGGTACCCTGCTCCGTCCTATCGTCTTCACCATTAACTCACCCACCTAGAAACTGGCCAGATTTCTGAGACCTTGCTTCCTTTCACGGGCAAGACCACCTCAGCTATACTTAACTCAGCTCGCTTTGTTTCTCTAATCAATGACATCTCACTGTCTCCAAATGATTTGCTTGTCAGTTTCGATGTAGACTTCCTGTTCACCAAGGTACCTGTACCTGACACCATTGCAATCATTGAAGACTTGGTCCAACAGTGACTGAATCCAGATGTACCAACTTTGGTAAGGCACTCCCTTACCAACACTTACTTCACCTGGAATGGTACATTCTACAAACAAAATGAGGGTACCCCAATGGGTTCTACCTTACTACTACAGCCAGTACACACTGCTAAAAAGTATAGTAGTTATACTAACTCTATAGCAGTGTGTACTGGCCGTAGTAGTAGCCATATTAACGCTCAACCACATCAATTCCATACACCCATCTATCAAATTCACCATGGAAGTGTAAAATGATGGCAAGCTATCATTCCTGGATGTTGTGATCGAGAAGAGACCTGATGGCTTGTTGGGACACTGTCTACAGGAAAGCCATCCACATGGATGCCTATCTAAAGCCTGACTCCCACCACCATCCAGCCCAGATAAATTCCCTCATCAAAACACTACACCATAGGGCCCGTTGCATCTTCGACCAGCGCCACCTAGCCAGTGAGCTGGAGCACGTACACCAAGCCCACAGGATGAATGGATATTCTGACCGTACAATCCGCAAAGCTGTCTCCCCAGCCATGGGGAGACAACCATCTTAGGATCAAATCAAAACCATCACTTTGCCATACATAGCAGGGGTTTCCAAAAATCTTAAACAAACACAAGATTGAGGTTTGTTTCAACACAGTACACAAAATCCGTGATTTGATCCCATCTGTGAAGGATGTGATTCCTGACATGCAATACCCTGGTGTCTACAAACTAAGTTGTGGCTGCGGCAGGAGTTATATTGGGGAAACGAAACGACATGTCTCGGACCGTGTTCGCGAACGCAAGGCAGATCTGAAACATGGTAGGATCAATACCTCTGCCATTGCTGATCATTGTTTTAACACTGTGGGCTCACACGAAATTGATTTTTCCAAGACGAAGGTACTCTGCAAACCCACCGGCTATCATGAAAGATTTGTTCATGAAGCCATCCAGAAATATAAGCACAGACATAACTTCCACTGAGAAGATGAGTAAACACTGAGCAATAATTGGAAGGACGTTATTAACCAAGAAAAGGCTTAACTGACTGTGATTTTTCCATCCTACCTGCCTATGTCAGCTGTTATTTCCGACTCTCTGTGTGTCTCTCTCACCATGTGTACCTCTTGCTCTTAGGGGTTATTTGTTCCTGTTGCCCGGCTCTCTCACAATGAGATGTTAATCGTCTCATTGGCACACCTCAGGTGGCTGGGCCGTCTCACATTGACATGCTAATCTCTCACATTTACATTTATGTACAAATTCCTTCTCTAGTTCCGCCCACTTATCCTATATAAACTCTTGTTACAGCAGCTCTTTCTCCTATGTCAGCAGTCCTCCTGCTGTGTTTGTTTCACACCTGATGATGGTTGCTTGAGTTGCGATCGATACATCGTGATCTATTATTTTTTCTATCTACGTGAATTTACCGAAAGAACCAAAGAGTATGGATTCCTGCAGTAAAGAAAGCTTCAAATCAAGATTAGACTATGGCAATGGTTATTAAGTTGGTTGAGTGTACTGGCAGTCTATAATGTAGACTATAGCCTGGTTCTTAACCTCGTTGAGTGTACTGACAGTCTATAATGTAGACTGTAGGTTTCTTATTCTTAGTTTTTTCGGTAAAGTCACGTTGAAGAGAAACAACAAAATAACAAAATATATATAAAACAATAAAAATTCTCACGACGTTTCGACCATAACTCAAACGGTCATCATCAGGTGTGTCGGTTTGCATAAATTTATTTATAAAACGGTATATTTATTTATTTATATAAAGATAACGTTTGCGTCACGCGCAACGATTGGCTGTTTGCCAGGACTAGTCCATCTATTTTTTGAAAAGAGGAGGGGGGAGACGAAATTTGTTTTTATGTATGCTGTCTGAAAGCCACTGTAAGCGTGAACAATCAATCAAGAACTGAAATGATTTATCAAATCTTTCCAATGATTGTTCACGCTTACAGTGGCTTTCAGACAGCATACATAAAAACAAATTTCGTCTCCCCCCTCCTCTTTTCAAAAAATAGATGGACTAGTCCTGGCAAACAGCCAATCGTTGCGCGTGACGCAAACGTTATTTTTATATAAATAAATAAATATACCGTTTTATAAATAAATTTATGCAAACCGACACACCTGATGATGACCGTTTGAGTTATGGTCGAAACGTCGTGAGAATTTTTATTGTTTTATATATATTTTGTTATTTTGTTGTTTCTCTTCAACGTGACTTTACCGAAAAAACTAAGAATATGAATTACTGCAGTCACGAAAGCTTTAAATCAAAATTTGTAGGTTTCTTATTAAGTTTGGTGAGTGTACTGGCAGTCTATAATGCAGACTGTAGCAATGGTGATTGAGCTGGGCGAGTGTACTGGCAGGCTATAGACTTATTCTTGGTTATTAATAACCATTTCATCAGTCTACATTATAGACTGCTAGTACATTCACAAAACTTAATAACCAGGCTACAGCTTACATCTATGGTTATTTTTTTTTAATTCACTTCATTATTAACTTCATTTGTATTACTATTTGTCTATCTACATGACTCAACCAAAGAACCAAAGATTATAATTATAGAGTCAGTATAGCTACTACTACAGCCAGTGCACACTGCTATAGAGTTAGTATAGCTACTACTACAGCCAGCACACACTGCTATAAAGTTAGCATAGCTACTATTACATACAGTACACACTGCTATAGAGTTAGTATAGCTACTACTACAGCCAGTACACACTGCTATCGAGTTAGCATAGCTACTACTGCGACCAGTACACACTGCTATAGAGTTAGTATAGCTACTACTACTGCCAGTACACACTGCTATAAAGTTAGTATAACTACTATTACAGCCAGTACACACTGATTTACAGATAGTATAGTTACTAAAACAGCCATGACACACTGCTATAGAGTTAAACATAGCTAATACTACAGCCAGCACGTATTGCTAAAGTTAATATAGCTACTACAGCCAATACATACTACTGTAGTGATAGTAGCTACTACTACAGCCAGTACATACTACTGTAGTGATAGTAGCTACTACTACAACCAATACATACTATTGTAGTGATAGTAGCTGCTCCTACAGCCAGTACATACTACTGTAGTGATAGTGGCTACTACTATAGCCAGTACATACTACTGTAGTGATAGTAACTACTACTATAGCCAGTACATCCTACTGTAGTGATAGTAGCTACTACTACAGCCAATACATACTACTGTAGTGATAGTAGCTACTACTACAGCCAGTACATACCACTGTAGTGATAGAAGCTACTACTACAGCCAGTACATACCACTGTAGTGATAGAAGCTACTACTACAGCCAGTACATACTACTGTAGTAATAGTAGCTACGACAGCCAGTACATACGACAGCCAATACATAATACTGTAGTGATAGTAGATAGTGCTATCGAGTCGGTATATAATACTGTAGTGATAGTAGCTACTACTATAGCCAGTACATACCACTGTAGTGATAGTAGCTACTACGACAGCCAGTACATACTACTGTAGTGATAGTAGCTACTACTATAGCCAGTACATACTACTGTAGTGATAGTAGCTACTACTATAGCCAGTACATACTACTGTAGTGATATTAGATAGTGCTATCGAGTCGGTATATACTACTATAGAGTTAGTAGATATTACTAAAGCAGTATTTCCTCCTATAGAGTTAGTAGCTACTGCTATAGAGTCGATATATACCAAGGCCGTAGTCATGGAGTCAACATTGGGGGGGCCCAAATCTTCCAGGGGGTCTGGGGGTCCCAACCCAGAAAAATATCTAAATTTGAAAACTAATTTACTGCCATTTCCTGCCTAAAAATATTTAAAAATTCACTAACACATGAGATACTTTTTTTTACAATCATGTATAATAGTGTATTGTATTACATTGCTCTGTTTTTACTTTTTTACCATTTCTTGTTTCATTGTATGTAATGTTTGAGATTAGGGATTAATAAAGTACAACCATAACCACATTAATATAAACAGAAATCTATGCATTGATTTATATGAAGACAAGTCTAAATATTGTGGCCAAGGTATAGCAAATTGTTGTTTTTATTTATATAGCATAGCAATTATTATTACATTTTTTATATTTTTATAGCAATATATTGGGAGGGGGCGGAGATTTTGAGCATATTTGAAAATTGGGGGGGGGGGGATGTGTCCCCCCCTACTATAGAGAAAGTAGATACTACTGTCAGTAGATACTACTGTCAGTAGCTACTACAGTCAGTAGATACTACTAAAGGGTCAGTAGATACTACTGTAGAGTTAGTAGATAATCATGTCAGTAGATACTATGGTCAGTAAATACTACTACAGTCAGTAGATACTACTATAGAGTCAGTAGATACTCCTGTATAGTAAGTAGATACTACTGTCATTAGACACTACTATGGTCAGTAAATACTACTAGAGTCAGTAGATACTACTATAGAGTCAGTAGATACTATTTATAGTTAGTAGTTACTACTATAGTCAGGGTATACAACTATAGTCAGTAGATAACGTGACAACCCCTACTAGTTGGCTGTGTCGGGTGGTGGAGGGGTTTAACTACACATTTACGCGATCTAACCCAAACAAACCTGTATTAAGGATGTATATTTGGAGTTTGCGTGTCTCTCTCCCCGTGGTCGCGTGGATTTTCCTCAGGATCCTCAGGAGTTTTTCCCTGCACATTTAGAGTCAACAGAGTATTTAACCGACAGACATTTCCACATACTGTTTGGTTCTATTCGGTAAAGTCACGTAGGTAAAAAATAAAACAACAGATACTAATACTACGGTCAGTATGGATCCTTGCAGTCACGAAAGCTTCAAATCTAGACATTTCCACACGTTGATAAGCCACTTTGTTGTGGGCAGGTCGCTTCTGAAAACAAGAGCGGTATAGCTCAAGTGGGCTTGGCCTTGGTAAGATAACAAAACAAAAACTGTAGATATATTTAAAAGAAAACAAAGTGACAAAGTAGTGAGCCAGGTGAAGACAAATTAAACTTAAGCAGAGAATTAAAGCAAATGCAATCAGGCGATGGGCAGGAGGCAAGGCCCCGCAAGGCTAGGCCCCGCGTTGTAATGTTCCAACCTGGACATCGATTCCATACTCGCTGCTACTCAATTGATATCCCTACGAGAGAGAGAGAGGAGCGAGGCTCTACCTGGGTAAACAACAACAACAACCACAACAACAACAACCACGATGTGAACTTCTCACCTCGGATCTCAGTGAGAGCGCGCGCGGTGCAACAGCCTCACGCTATATCGTGACGTCACGCGACACCAGCAAGTGACATGACGTCATTAGCAGCGAACACCCCCCCAGCGCGTCTCACGCCGATGACGCAATGCGGTGGTGACGTCAGAAAGCGGGTTTTAGAGTTTAAGTTTATTTAAATCTTGACTGCAGGAATACATTATATGGGTCTTTCGGTAAAGCCACGACCTCAGGGCGCCCTCCGATCTAACATTGACATGCAAAATCCTTGAGGGCCATCAATAAATAAATGACGTCACGCGATTTTTGGCCAATATTTGACCCCCCTCCCGCCTCGTCACATATCGTCACAAATGTCTGACCCCCCCCCCTCCAGGAGCGTGACGTCATTTATGGACGGCCCCTTGGGCTGCACCCATCCCAGGCCTATTTCACGTCCTGCTTCAGCAGCTCTCTCGCTGTATTTTTTTACACCTGAAGACGATCGCTTGTGTTGCCATCGAAACGTCGTGATTTTTTTTATTATTTTTATATCTGCGTGGCTTTACCGAGAGACCCACAGAATACCATGTTCATACACACACAATAATGTGCACGTTGTTGATGAGCTCACGCACCCAAGGGGTCTCTGTTCAAGAGAGAGGGAGATATGGAAAAGGAATCTAAATAAACTCAAACCCCCGCTCTCTGACGTCACAACTTCGCATTACCTCATCGGTGTGAGACGCCTGGGGGAGATGTACCTCTCTAGTGACGTCATGTCACCAAGGTATTCACCTCCTCCCCCAACCCCCCCTCCACCGCTTTTTGAGCGTGACGTCACGTCTGGTTGGTCACTGCCGATTTCCGTTCCAGTAAAAATCCTTATTTGGGCACAGCTACGCCCAGTCACTGGCGGTTAATTAACATAATTTATTCATAAAAACCGTCGCGAGTTTATTGTGCCGGGTTCAGCATCCACGCCTCATCAATGGACATGAGCCTGTCTCCTTAACATAATTTATTCAGTTACACCGCCGCTCGTTGGGGGAGGGGATTGTGTGTGAACCACGCAAGTGACGTCATGTCACCTCCCGCTGCTGCGTGACGTCACGAGATACCAGGAAGCTGCCGATCCGCGTGCCTGCGCTCACAGAGATCCGAGGTGAGAAGTTCACATCGTGGTTGTTGTTGTGGTGGTGGTTGTTGTTGTTTACCCAGGTAGAGCCTCGCTCCTCTCTCTCTCGTAGGGGTATCAATTGAGTAGCAGCGAGTATGGAATCGATGTCCAGGTTGGAACATTACAACGCGGGGCCTAGCCATGCGGGGCCTTCCCTCCTGCCCTCGCCTGATTGCATTTGCTTTAATTCTCTGCTAAAGTTTAATTTGTCTTCACCTGGCTCACTGCTTCATGGGACCTCCTTTGCCAGTATCAAAATATAAGAAGAGGTTTTCCCCTTTTAATGATTTATAGATTTATACGACTTTTTGTCTTGGGATATTTTTTTGTATACGGTTTCTCCGTTATTATTTCAATTGTTTAGTTTATTTGGAATACTGTCCAGTACTTATTTCAATTGTGATGTTGTGAATTGTATTTGACGTTTACCTAACGCCATTACTTAGGTCAGGCTTAAGTATTGAATATTGCGCTTTTAGCTTTCGCCCGGCAATTCCCAAGAACGTTATCTCCGCAATATGCAAAGGGCTGCTGTATTTTATGTCTATTGACTACTGGCATCGCATCCGCCCCTCACCCTTCATCCTGCGGATGTTCGACGCACAGGATGGCACCACTTAGCCATTTCGAGCTTGCACGACTGAGTTACGTGGGTCACGCGGTCACGAGGCGCTTGTTGGCGAACACCACCGATGGGCCTGGCTCTAGGGGTGATATCAATAAAGAATATATGTAAGGATGCCCCCCAATAGACTCCCCCTGGAACTCTACCAGACACGTCCCACTGGGCGATGACCCCAGGGCTGGCCCAGGACACGCTGGCGGGACTATGTCGCTCGGCTGGCCAGGGAACGCTTGGGAATTCCCCAGGTTGAGCTAGAGTCTGTCGCCAGGGAAAGGGAGGCCTGGACCGCCCTTCTCAGCATGCTGCCACCGCGACCCTCACCAGGACAAGCGTTTTTAGAAACTAACGAATAAAGCTGTGGTTCTTCTTGGACACATTATTCTGTGGATTCAAAATATGAACTTATTTAAATTACCACCTCTGCTGGCTTATACAGTGAAGGCTGGCCTGCCTATTATTCATCCTCTCTTCAACCAGACTATTGTATTAGAAACTTACAGATCCTTAAGATATCAATATAGAATATAATCTTGAGTTTCTTTGGCAGGCGAGGCTGCATTGGTTTGGTCATGAATCCCGCATTCCCAGACACTGCATGCTCAAGCATCTTCTGTTTGTCCAGATATTAGGGGCTGAACAGGCATGGCATTGGCTAGAGAAGAGAATGGAGGATGTGATTGGACCTGCTGATGACTGGTGCCAGGAGTGGAGATCGGCCTCTGTGGAGGAGGCCCGTGAGGTATGCTTCATGGCAGATAAGAGATATTTGCTCTGCAATAACGATGAGGCCAGAAGAGCGACGCCCACATGAATAATAGGTGGAACGCTGGGTTCCTTAAACCCAGCAAGACAGTGGGGAGCACAGCTGGTTGTTCTGTCAGTCATCCCTTGACACCTGGATCATTCCCATTACCTGCTGACAAGGAATCCACACTTACATGGCCTTAAATTGCACCTATCATAGCATTAGCACTGGGATAAGGTTACTTGCAATTCGTCATGAATGGTGGATGTTTTGTTTATATAATATGTTAATGATCCATGTGAAATGTACGTGTATTTAATAGTTTATCTCGCAGTTATTTCACCGCATTATGAACTCAACAATTAGTTTGATTATCGCTGGCAGCAAATGATTGATAACAGTGTAACAAAAAAAATTGTCCCTGCGTAGTAAATGTTATTTTTTAATTGCTTATGCCTCAAAAGTACAGAAAATGGCTCTTATTCCCCACAAACTTTCCTTTTGTGACCAGGACAGTGATATTTTTAAATTTACCTATTTTCAATGAGAAAATTTGTGCATTTGTGTCATTCCTTAACATAAAGTCCTGGTCACAAAAGGAAAGTTTATAGGCATGACCAATAAAAAAAAACACTAGCCATCCAGGGACAAAAAAAAATAGTGTTACATAGTGTAAGTGAAAGCTGAACTTATTGTGGGCCTCTGCTATTTTGATTGATCTTAAATTAATTACATGGTGAAGTGAGAAAGCATGAATAATGAGCAGATGAAGGTGGCCAGGCATGGTTCTGGACACACAACCACCTTTTTACCATGCCAGTGTGTGACAATGTCAAGTTTGTATTTGCAGTAATGTATATTAACGATTGAACATGGAGGTTAAATCAAAACAATAGTTTATTTTCATTTTCCTCTGGGACTTTTTGTAAGGATGGAAACAGTCAGGAAAATATATCAGCACATATGCAGCTGAAGTTAGATCTGTTCATCCGAGCATTCAAGCAAATCTGAGCCTGGCTTCCACCTCGAAGTTTCGATTGAACATTAATTTATGCATTTCTGCATAATACAAATAATATTCTTTTCAAGACACTTTGCTATTACAGCTGAATTTTTCTTAAATATTCCTTTCATAGCTAGACAGCCGAAATTGTGTGCTTGGAGTTTTGGGTAAACATTCATTTTGAAGATACTAGAGCATCCAGGAATATTTATGACCATTGGCCCTCTCATTGTGTGCCTTAATAGCCCGCGTGATTAATTGGGGAATAATTTTCACTATTTCATGAATATATGAATAAGTATAGATGTGTAAGTCATGTGTGACTGTGTATATATGCATTCCTCTGTGTCTTGATACTGACGTAGATGGTGTGGATACGTTTTTCTGATTGCAGCTGAAACTTCCTCTGACGGTTCCTCTGCAGAATTGGTCTGATGGAGCAAAGGCAATCAGCGCAGCTCGGTACAAAAATAAACAATGCGACCAGTGTGCATACAGCACGGATCATACTGGAAGTTTGGCACAGCAGCAGAGAACTCACACAGGAGAGAAACCCTTCAAGTGCACTGTGTGTGAGAGGGCATTTGCACCGTCATCAAATCTTCAAAAACACCAGAGAACACACAGAAAATAAACTTTTCAAGTGCACTGTCTGTGAGAAGGCATTTGCCAAGCCATCAGTTCTTCAGAGCCACCAGAGAACACACAGGAGTGAAACCCTTCAAGTGCAGTGTGTGGGAGAGGGAATTTGCACAGTCATCAGTTCTTAGCAGCCACCAGAGAACATACACAGGAGCTAAACCTTTCAAGTGCACTGTGTGTGGGAGCGCATTTGCACGGCCATCGTTTCTTCACGACCACCAGAGAACACACACGGGAGAGAAACCCTTCAAGTGCAGTGTGTGTGAGAAGGCATTTGCAAAGTCAGCAGTTCTTCAGAGACACCAGAGATCACAAACAGAAGAGAAACCCTTCAGGTGCACTATGTGTGACAAGGTGTTTACACGGTCATATGATCTTAAAAAACTCCAGAGAACGCACACAGGAGAGAACCCCTTCAAGTGCAGTGTGTGTGAGAAGGCATTTGCACAGTCATCACATCTTAAAACACACCAGAGAACACACACGGGAGAGAACCCCTTCAAGTCCACTGTCTGTGAGAAGGAATTTGCCAAGCCATCAGTTCTTCAGAGCCACCAGAGAACACACACAGCAGAGAAACCATTCAAGTGCACTGTGTGTGAGAAGGCATTTGCACAGTCATCAATTCTTCGCAACCACCAGAGAAGGCACACAGGAGAGAAACCCTTCAAGTGCACTGTGTGTGAGAAGGCATTTGCAGAGTCATCATATCTTAAAAAACACCAGAGAACGCACACAGGAGAGAACCACTTCAAGTGCACTGTCTGTGAGAAAGCATTTGCACAGTCATCAGGTCTTCAGATCCACCAGAGAACACACACTGGAGAGAAACCCTTCAAGTGCATTGTGTGTGAGAAGGCATTTGCACAGTCATCGATTCTTCGCAACCACCAGAGAAGGCATACAGGAGAGAAACCTTTCAAGTGCACTGTGTGTGGAAGCGCATTTGCACGGTCATCAATTCTTCATGACCACCAGAGAACACACACAGGAGAGAAACCCTTCAAATGCACTGTGTGTGGAAGCGCATTTACACGGTCATCAACTCTTCACGACCACCAGAGAACGCACACAGGAGAGAAACCCTTCAAGTGCACTCTGTGCGCGAAGGCGTTTGCACAGTCATCACAGTTTAATAGACACCAGAGGACACACAGGTATCAGAAGATCCCCAAGGAGCGGAGTCTGAAATCGGCTTGTGAAAGTCCAAGTGCTGCAATGAGCCCATCCCTGCTGAAAAAAGAACCAGAATTTAATTGCAGCTTGGACGCAATGAAATGTATCAAGGTGGCTTTTGAAGAGGCGAAGTTGAAATGTGAAGAAGTGATGGTGAAGAGCAAAGAAGTGAAGGTGAAATGTGAAGAAGTCATGGTAAAATGTGAAGATGAAGATTCAATTCCAAAATTGGGCCTTCACATCGATGGAGGCAACGTGAAGCAGGAGGAGAATTCTGACTGTGAGGCAGAGCGAGGCAACTCCCAGCAGTTTGTGGAAGTGGAGGTGTGGGTGGACTTCTTAGACAATACAAAGTCAAATGGAGACCCTGTAGATGTGTAAGCTTGAGACAATGAAGCTCCAATAGATTCACCTTTGTCACAGGCTTTTAATTACAATAACGTGAAGTTGAACACTCCATTCCTAGGATCAACCTGCAGAGTAAGAGCAACCAGTATTTGCGGACCTGTTGGTTGGGTAGATCTCTTACCAGGAGCCAGAGCCAATAATCTCCGAAGCATTCACTATGTTATACTATGTTATAATAATTTTAGCATTTATATGGTGCTTGCCTAATCGCCTCAGCAACTCAGTTGTTTTGTATCATCTCATCACAAACACTCGAAGAGCATGTTGTATATATGCCTTTTCCATAAAATTTTGATTGATTCTTTGTATTGGTTTTGTAATCATTTTGATTGGGATGTAGCGCTGGGGCACGGAAAGGGTGAGTCCCCCCCTCCCCTCCTGCCTTGCCACACAAAAGACTGCTGGAGGATAATTACTCACAAGCCTGCTGGGGAAGTCATAAAATATAATTTTAAAAATGGCAAACCCAAGGGGGGGGGGGCTAATGAGATTCTGCGGGACATCCCCAGTTGACTTCAAGAAAAGGCCGCCATAAAGGAAAAACCCCACAAAAGGCGAAAACAGCAGGGGTCACGAGCCTCCCCTGGACAGCGAAATTCACCCAAGGTGTTGTATATGTGTGTAGGCCTTTTCCCAAAATGAATATTAAGAATTCTGCCATTTTTTATTAATAATCGAAAAATAAATAAATAAATAAACACCCTCAAACCCGCTACCTCCCACAAACATCAAGCATCTGGAGGTCGAAAAAGGCCATTAAATAATAAACTCCGGGGCAAAGGGAGGTTAATGACGATCTGCAAAATCTCCAGATTGCCAATGGACCACATACCATGACCTGCTTGACACTTTTTACAGTTCACAAACAAATATCCAGAATCACAGGCACGGACACAGCACAGGGCAAATGGACATTATAACTGATATATATTTTTTGTATATTTCCATCTATGTAACTTCACCAAGAGAACCAAGGAATGTGAATTCTAGCAGTCAAGAAAGTGTGCGCTTGGTTATATCTCCAGCCTCGGGATATCTCTGACCTCGAGAATAAAAAAAAATACGGATCCCTGGATGCAGACAGAGAGCAAAAGTTTATAAAAACCCTTGAAATACCGGAGGTAACATCTAATGGTACATTACAAATCTTGGTTAAACACAAACCAAATAATAATCACAAGAGATTAGACCTAGGCTAATTCATTAGAGGTCCAAGAAATAGGTCAAACACAAAGACCAGATAAATGTATATCATCAAATCAGAGCCTCCCCGGCCGCCTTTGTCTTCCAACAATTTGACAACAATTTGGTAGCCATAAAGCGTATGAAAGGTGCGTCCCCTCCCTTAGCGGAGACTGCGAAGAGAGGGGTTGGGAGGGCAAACAAACATCAATTTGATGTAAAGCAGCCCGGGGTCACCAAGGGGAGAGGGGAGGGGGGCAATCAGGCACGGCCGCGGGGGGAGAGCATGACGGAGTAAGAATCTGTTTTTTTCTCTCGCAAGAGACGCGCAGAGGGGAGATTTTTCGGATAAAAACAACACAACACAGTTCAGCTCGACATGGGGAGCTCGACAAGGGACAGCTCAGCAAGAGACAGCTGGGCGAGTGACAGAAGAGGGCGGCGAGCGGCAAGCTCCAGGGTGAGACTGCAATCAACCAGGGATGGAGAGACTTGCCGAGTAGCGATGTGTCACCAAACACGAGTTTAGAGCTGACAAGTATCGCTCAAAGTAATTATATCCTGAGTGCCAGCTCCCACCAGCAGCTACAGCCGAGCAATAGAATAATGAGCAAGGGTGTCTGCCACCAGCGAACGAACTGCGCGCGCAATCGGGCATTGACAAAGAGCACGGGGCAGGAAGGAGCGCATGCAACACAGCTCCTCCAGCAGTGGAAGGAGCCTGCTGCTGCCAGTGCATCAGTGGCAAGCGTGATCGAGCATCTTCAAGGACAAGCAACGTGCCGACGCAACTCCTCCAGCAGTGGAAAGAGCCTGTATCTGCCAGCGGACGGGCAGCTAAGCCGACACCCCGAGCAAGAAAAAGCAACGAGGCCGTTGTAAGACACGCCCACCCTCACACCCTCACCTCTCCGCAGGAGACAAACACATTTTTGATACAAGGGATGCCCAATCTTGGCATTTTCTTAACGCAAGAAGATCAACAACACTCACACATTAACACGTACAAGAAGATTCATGATAAGTGCGTCAACTACTAGCTGATAACGAAGAACATTGCGGCCCATTGAGTTACGTGGATACAGTCATTTAGAAGTATTTTAGTCATTTTTTTCTTTCTTTTTAATTGCATAACTCTTACCAATGAATTAATTGATGAAACCAAACGTTTAGAAACCTACGTTACGAATCTACACACTCACAGGGAGAATATTGTGTTGAAATCGTTATTTTGATCACAGAATCTTGCCCACGAATTAATTGAAGCCTCAGCCAATTGATGAGCATTTGCTGAAGCAGGCAGACTGTCGCACACCATCGTCCCAAGACATTTCGTAACTACATAATCTTCCCAATGAATTGATTGCGTATACTTTTGCCTTCGGGGCATGTTTCTTTATTGCCCTTCGTATGAACATCGTTGCATGAATTTTAAGGACTTTTTCCTATCACCATATATGCTCGCGTTACTCTAAAGAATTAATCAATTATTCTGTTACCCAATTTAACAACGTGATCATTGAGGGTTAAATGTATGGATCGATGAGGAGAACATCTCCAGGAGTACCGTGTTGACAATTCCAAGCATAAGAGTTCGCATATTAGTGTTATGTTTTTGTTTAGAAATTAAAATTGCTTAACACAGAAGTGTTTGAGTGTTTCTTTCCTAAGTTCATGCTTAATAATCTTAATTATAAGAACTGCGGTGAGATTTCAATTTGGAGACCTGACATAAACACTAATACATAATCAGTAAATGTTAACGCGAGAATAATTGTATTATACCGAGTAATAATACGAACCTAGACAACGAAGCCGAGCTTAATCTAGCATACTTACAGCACACCTGCATAACTTCATACATTAATTGTATTATCCCGATTGGTAATACTACCCTCGACAACGAGGGAGGGCCTAATTATCATAACGGCTTGCATTAGCATAATCGCACACATTCGTATAAATTAAGAACCAAGAATAATAAAATAATAACCTGATGGTTCAATGAGCCACTCTGTCTACAGGAAAGCTACCCATACAGATGCTTACCTGAAACCGGATTCCCACGACCATTCATCCCAGAAGAATTCCCTCATCAAGACTCTGCACCATGTGGTTTTCACACCTGATGATGATTGCTTGTGTTGCAGTCAAAACGTCGTGAGAATTTTATTGTTTAATATTTTTATTATTTTATTGTTTCCCTTCTACGTGGTGACTTTTCTGAAAGAAGCAAGAATAAGATAATATGTATTCCACAGGATCAGAGCCTCGCCAACCGCCTTTGTCGTCCAGTAGCTAACACAGTACATGGTCAGTTTAACACAGAGGCTTTCGCGACCAATATTAGTCATAATAAAGATTTTTTGGGTTACATTGCGTTATTTTATAAATGTGTCGTAACCCTCCACCACCCGACACTGCCAAACAGTAAAAAATGTGTCACGTTTACCAAGACAAATAGTTCACTACTTTAGCCCCACACCGGTGTGTTGACGAGTGAATCAACATCATTTAAAATTTTGAGTACTGTGACGTTTCGCTGATAACTACATCCAGCATCATCGGGCAATTTGCCAGAATGGTGAGGCCCTCCACTCGCTCCCGGTCTTTAATAGAGCAACAGGGTGACGTAATCTTTTAGCTCAATCTGGTGCAGTGATTCGAGGTGGAGATGGGGAGGGTATTGTAATTATATAATTGACTAGCTTTACTACCCGGCTTCGCCCGGGACTTAGATTCACCACGCCCGGCCGCCTTTGTCTCCCCAGTGGCGATGTTCACACACCACACCAGTTACTCGTTTGATGCTGAGTCGACCTATGGGAGGCCCAGGACCGGTTCAAATAATTGTTACCGGTAGTGGCCGTGAGCGGGAATCGAACTCGGTTCGCCGGGTTCGTAGCACAGCACCCGAACCGCTATGCAGTCGCGGCCCCCCCCCCCCCACATACAGGATAAAGACAAAGATCCCCCGAGTAGCCTGTGAGACTGTAGGGGGCAAGTGCTGTTAACGAGCACTCATGAAGGCCGGAACGGCACACGAGGTTGTGGGTGGCCAGCACCACGCCGGCCGCCTTTGTCCCCCCAGTGGCGATGTTCACACCACACCAGTTACTCGTTTGAGGCTGAGTCGACCTAGGGGAGGCCCAGGACCGGTTGAAATAATCGTCACCAGTGGTGGCCGTGAGCGGGAATCGAACTCGGGTCGCCGGGTTCGTAGCGCAGCGTAGCGCTAACCACTGCACTACAATGCGTTACGCTTCCACATGCGCGGGACACATGACAGATGTGACGTCACAGCTCATTGGCCTTTACAAAAAATATATGCTCCCACCCCCCCAAAAAAGTGTATTTTTATATTTTTTGCATGGTGTACAGTCTGGAAAGTACCCACATGGCAAATTTCAAGTTTGCTGCATGTCGGGAAGTACGTTAAACATTTTGAACAGACACATAATCACAACTTTGCATTTTATATATATGGAGATTGGTAATCATTCAATTGTTGTTCATTTGTATTTGTTTCCCCTGTAAGGAATGGGAATTGTAATACATATTTTATTTAATAATATGCTTCCAGGCCACACTAAGCCTATAGCTGTCAGAGCAATTAAAGTTATTTGTATTTCAATGGATTATCTAATTAGTCTTGGCCAGTAATAATT